GTACAAATTTATTTTTAAAAATATTTTTTTTTCTTCCGTACGTGATGAATCTATTGTAGGATTCATTATTATATTGGCCAAGGCAGGTAAAGCTCTTTCTATAAATGTTGAATTAATTGATAAAGTTTCAGAAATCGAATTTACCGCCGACATAACAAGATGTTCTATTATCATAAATAGTTAAATTAGTTAAAATAAAGAATTTAGCTTTTAAAAAAATAAAAAATAAAATTTATACCTGAAGGAAATTTTTGCCAAACGTCAACCACCATTGGTCCTATCAAACCCTCATATTGAAATATTACATCCCTATTTATCTAATAAAAAATGAAGACATTAATTTTAAACTAAAACGTGTGAGTTTTCAGACCTCCAGCCATCAAACTTTATAAAAATATATAGAATACATATATACGAGATGTGTATATATATATATATATATATATATATATTACTTTAATAGCTCTTTCAAGTGTTTCCAATACTAATAATAGGAAATCTTCTGTTGTCACATTAATAAGATTTGCTACACATTCAATAATGGTTCCTTGAAATGGTAGAACATATTGTTCATTTAAATTTCGACAAAAACTATTTTATTTATTTTCAGAATAAAATACTTTTTGTTAAATATTTGTTTATATAATATTTATGTAAATATAATTATTACCTTTTTAATGCACGTAAAGCGGATACTTTTACAGGAATAGTACCGTCAGGATCTTTAATCGCTTCAATAGCAGCTTTAATAAAACCTGATGTTAACTCTCCAGGTAAAACTGATGCAAATTGGCTTGCGAAAACAAATGCACGTCCTCTAAGAAATGGAAATCCTTCTATATATATATATATATATATATATTATAAATGTTTTTTAAAAAGATTATATTTATATAAAAATAATAATCTCAAGAAAAAAAAGAAACACACCTGGCTCATTTAAAATTTGATGTATTATTTGTTCAAATAATATGCCAAGATTTATTCCAATATTTAAATTTTTATCATTTAATGCGGATATTAGTTCATTAGAAACAAACCCGATTGCTTTTAAACATGCTTCATGAATTTGCCACCTAGGAAAAATAAAGTTTTATTTATTTATAAATTAAAAGAAATCTTTATTAAAAATAGTTATTAATTATAAACTTTACCAATTAGGATCACCGTCAGCACGGGCTTTATTAGATTCAGCCATGTTATGTTGTGAAATTGCTGTTAGACTTTTTAATGTGCGTTCCGGAAATTTGTCCATTAATATCTTTATATAATAAATATAGATAGATAGATAAATAAATAAATAAATAAATATTAATTGTTTTTATCTTTTAAAATTGATAAGCTACCGTTAGTAAATCTTCTGCTGCAACTCTAACACTAAAGTTGAAGGTATCATCATCATCGTCAGCTACAAATTGATTAGCATCTGAAATCCAAGTTTCTGCCTAAATATAGCAATATCAAATAACAATATATATATTAACATCATTAAATAATTAATCTATTCTCTAAAAAATAATAGTAATAACTTACTTGTTCAACAGTCATTTGCATGTATTGTATAATAATCCAAACAAGCTGAGACACAAAATCAGTATTATTATTTTGTTCGTTAATATTATTATCATTTTTATTTTTATTTTTATTTTCTTCAATGTTATGTTGTGAAATTGCTGTTAGACTTTTTAATGTGCGTTCCGGAAATTTGTCCATTAATATCTTTATATAATAAATATAGATAGATAGATAAATAAATAAATAAATAAATATTAATTGTTTTTATCTTTTAAAATTGATAAGCTACCGTTAGTAAATCTTCTGCTGCAACTCTAACACTAAAGTTGAAGGTATCATCATCATCGTCAGCTACAAATTGATTAGCATCTGAAATCCAAGTTTCTGCCTAAATATAGCAATATCAAATAACAATATATATATTAACATCATTAAATAATTAATCTATTCTCTAAAAAATAATAGTAATAACTTACTTGTTCAACAGTCATTTGCATGTATTGTATAATAATCCAAACAAGCTGAGACACAAAATCAGTATTATTATTTTGTTCGTTAATATTATTATCATTTTTATTTTTATTTTTATTTTCTTCAAAAAGTGATTTAACAGATTTCTTTCTAATTGTCAATCCAATAAATTCAAATTGAACAAATAATAAATGTTCAAATCCAATAACTTCTCCATCAGAATCTTGATAAATTTTTACTCCTTCACCAGATTCATGAACATAATTTTTCACAAAAGTAAAGTATTATATTAAGGATTTGATTTAATTTAATAGTTAATTAATTATGTATATTTTTTAAAATGATTATAGAGGATATCTTTCCCGTTGGTCAAATAAATCTGTCCACACAGGTTCTAATAATGAAATCAAATATTGTGAAAGTATTTTTGGATAATATTGAATAAGAGAATTCAAACACTACCAATTAAAAAAAAAATCAATAAAATGAAAATTTGATTTTCTTTTTACAAAAAAAATCCAAAAAATTGATCACCTACCTTTATAACATCCAATTTTAAACCATATTCTTCCAAACAATTATCATTGTTGTTATTTATGATTCTATGAGTCAAAATTTTTAATAAATTTTCTAACCATCCTGCAATATTTTGTGCAATATATAATTCTGTTGGCTCAGGATGTTCTTCTTTGTACATGTATAATATTTCAATACATTGTCTAAATATTGACACAGCACGTCCTCGTGTTCTATATGAATATACTAATTTAGAATTATTTGCATCTTCTGATTTTATAATTCTAGCAAGTTCCGGTAATAATGTATTAGCAACTCTAGGAAATTGATGTTCAGAAATGTCATGATTGACAAATTCTGAAATTAAATAAATTAAATTATTATAGATGGATTTTTTTCAAAAAAAAAAACTATATATTTATTTAAATATACCGTTCATTACTCTTAAAGCACCATGTACTTGATTTATATTATCACTTTTCAAAAGTGATATTAATAAGTCAAAAAGATTTGGCCAAGCTTCTGGCCAATCATCATGAGCAATTTTTGAAACAATAGACGCCTAATTTAAAATATAATTATTAACATAAATAAAAATAATGTAATTTGTTTCTGAATTAAAAACTAATTAGATCAGAATGAAAAATTACTACTAACTGATACAACACGGATTTTATTAGAGGCATCGGATAAACCATTGAAAGCTAATTCACGTACAACAGCTTTTGCCTAAATAAATAAAAATAATTAATGATATTCTAAGAGCCGTCGTAATGGATAATAGCATTTATAAACAAAATGTCCACAACCTCTGGTTTTAATTCAGGACCTACAAATTTTGCGCTATCAGTTGCCCAATTTGTACTAATATAATTTTTCAAAGTTACACCTGCGGAGTAATTAAAGAATTAAATTAAATATAATAATAAAAATGTCATTGTTTCTAATTATTATTTAAATTTTCAAAAGGATATTTGACGTTTTGGTACATCTAATTCTTGTGAAAGCATCATTCTTGCAAGACTAATAGGGTATTCTAATAATTAAAAGTAAAATTTATTATATTAGTGAGCATGTACGCGTCTATAACATTACGGGAAGATTTTTAAAGAATCAAAAAAAACCTGGTTGCTTCACTAATTCTCTTAAACTTAACTCTGCTGCCATGCGAACATTAGGATTATCAGATAAAACTTGTGTAATAGTTTCATAAACCGCTCGATCCATATTTATTTATAATATAAGTATTATAATTATAGTTATAATGGTAGCTGTTGGTGATAAAAAAAAAAAAAATAATAATAAAATTAAAATGAAAATTAAAACCAGACGTGAACAGGACCCCTGAATACGCCACACTTTTTATTAGATGGACCGTGGGCAGCCAAAATGGCTAAATAATGCTGATCATTCCAAGTATAGTCTTAAATTATCTAAATATAGTAACTTACATATCCACTGTATTCAGGGCCTGAATACGCCACAAAGGAATTTTAGAGTAAGAGGTTAAGGAGGACCCCAGATAATTATTGAGGTCATAAGCACTATGTTTTTGGCGCAGAAATTTTTTTGAATTAAATTAAATTATGTAGGGCACAATTGATAAAGTCAATGTCACCAAGTCTCATAATAAAAAACGGATCTTTTAAAGAAAAGAGATGGGGAATTGGATGAAATTTCAAAATTTCATGCACATAATGTGCATTTTATGCAGTGCAGTGCATTTTTTTAAATTTTATTGATTTTAAAAAAAATTATCATCACCTACCACTACTTTTTCTTTGCTACTATCTATTCTAATTGTTTCACCATCATCATTACTTTGATCACTTTTGTCTCCCATGCTTCCATAATCAATGATTGATCAATGATTGTAATATCCATATTATCATTGTTAATATTTTTTGGAATTTTAATTTGTAATTAAAATAAATATACACCAATTTAAAACACATTCAGGTGTCAATTTGAGAGATAGAAGCAGATAAAGATAATTGAAAAGAAGAACTTATTAAGTGATTGAGAAATGGGAAAAGTGACACAATAATCAAAATTATTGAAGACTGAAAGCAACAAGCTGAGAATATCAAGAGAGATAATGCAACACACTTGTATGCCTTGGAAACAGCTAAAGAACAAGAGAAAGACAATTAAGCTGAAAATTAGAGCAATTAGGGACAGCCAAGAATCAAGAAACAAATCAAGTTTAAGAAATTCAGTAAAAATAATATAAATATGCTCACCTATACTGATAATTAAATGTTAAGCAGTAAATTATTTTTCTTCTAAATTTCTTTTCTTTCTAGGTTCTGTGTTAATTTCTTTTATCAATTGTGATTTTTCTTTCTTCTTGATAAATTTAATAGGTAATCCTTTCTTTCCTTAAATACTTTGAGCATTATTTATTTTGAAAACATAAAGAGTAATCTTTTCCCCTTGTTATTTCTTCAAAATGCTTCTGATAGTACTATAATTCTTGAGTTCCATAGAGGAACTAATGTAATTAATTATTTTTATATAAGAATAGTTCTATATAATGATGTATGACGAAGCTTCTGACTTTAGTCATTGACATAACTAAAGTATTGACTAAAAGTAGTTTCTCACCAGGACCACTTTGACGATTTGACTAAAGTAAAGCTCTTGATGTAAGTAAAATCACTTGAAGTAATTAAAAACCTTGACATAAGTATAAACATTTGACGTAATTAAAAACACTCAACGTAAGTAAAAACCCTTGATACAAGTAAATCACTTGATACAAGCATTATCAAAAGTCCCAAATTATGTAATAAAGAATTATTGTATGTATATATATTGCAATGATGAAAGAAGAATAATTATCATGGGAAGTTTACAAATGTTATAATTTGAAGTACTTATTTTTTACGTGTATTTTTTTTCAAAATAAAAATGCCTCTTCTTTTTTACAAATTAAAACTATTCTTTTATTATTACATACATATGAGTTGTGTTAAATTGATTGTTTTGACTTCAGAAGTTAACTTCACGTAATAGTAATATGCAATAATATTAATAATGTCCTTGAACTGTCTTTAGTGTCTGAGTTTGAAGCAATATAGGTTAATCCAATATTGGTACTTGGAACGACCTTTACATAACACATAAGACAGGTTTTAAAATCTTCAAAGAATTCTGAAATCCTTTTATTGTTGAATCACGATAAATCGATCACTAGAGTTTGATTTTTTTTTCAAGTCTATCGCTATAGAAGAATAAACTTCACGCAAACATCAAAAGTTATTTACAAATTTCGATTTTTAAGAAAAAAAAAATCCTTTGCAAAGATCAAACGATGGGTTATATTTGTTTTCTCCGAAAAGTAAAATTTTTTTTATCCAGATATTTCTCAAATTGTCAAAATCAAAAAAAATTTTTTGTATATATTGTCTGTTTATCTATCATTGAATTGAAATTGACTGATAATAATAATAACAATGTAAAAAATGTTTTTGAATCCCGGTCTTGTGACCCGAAACTATACTAACACTAACACATTGTGTGGCAAGTCTTGGATCTGAGGTAAAGGCTCCAAGGCAAGGCCATAATTTTTTGGTCATTTTAAACGGTCCGAAATGTCAGAGCAAGACGAAGACCTAATGGTAGGCAGCGGTAGACACCACGCAAAAAAATCTAAAGCGAAATGCGATTTCTTTTCAGTCAAGTATCTGCTTCGCTCAACCCTGGCGTTTTGATAATTTTTCGGTTGCAAAATAAATATAAATGGGAATTCACATGATACGGCGATGTAAAAATAACCACACCATTTATATTTTGGAAAACGAAAATTTTTTTGTTAAGGAAATAATGTAACCATTCTTATTCATTAAAAACACCAAGTTGAATTTTATATTTTATATTTTATAATGTCGCATGCTAAACTATTATCATCATTATCACCAGAAAGAGGGAATTTTGTACGTAAAATTTATAGAGAAATACTTGGTAACGCTGATGCTAATTCTGATGGGGAAAGTAGAAAAGATTATTTTTTTTCATTAGTCAAAAAAAACAAGGAGCTTTCTGAAAATGAAAAAAAATTTTGTAAAGAAAAGTATATTTATAACATTGAATTAGAGAATGCAAGAGATAAAGTGGGAAAACCAAAAGAATGTAACAAGTGTAAATTGACAAGATACTCTGAT